GTCAAAAATAAAAAGATGATTTAAAAATACGAAATAAAATGCCACCCAAATTACGCTGTGTGATCTTAAACAAGTCTGTCCAATAAATTGCACAATGTCGCAGTTTCATATAAGACACCAACCAAACAATAACAAAACAAACTATTCTTTGAAAATAAAGTTAACAGATCATTTGTATTTTGAGAAGAGGCTATACAACAGCAAATAACTGAAAATGGTGAGCAGCTGAGATTTAACGAACTTTAGTGCTCGAAGGTGACTACAATGTGCCATTATAAATTGCAGGTGAGCAGATTTATTTGATACATTTTTGTGTATCCCGGCGTGCCTGTTCACCGAGCTGCAGATCTACGCGAGTGTCCCCAAACGTTTTTAAACGCACCGGTCAGTTGCAAGCAATAGGCATTCCCAGCAGTACAATTTGCAGCGTTTCTCAGAGGCTGTGAGCCACGGGTACCGTTCATAATTGCTCGTCTGAAAATGACGGACAAACCTTTTTCCTTGCTGGGACAGGCTAGCTAGCGCAGGAGTTGGGCGACCTCTTTGCACAATATCCAGCTTTTCGTGGAAGGCCCGTCTTGAAAATTGTGTGGAAAGTAGTTCTGCAACCAGATCAACGTCTTCTCCTTTGGCCATTTTGGGTTAAAATGCAGTGGATAGCTCTAGCAGGCACTAATCCAATCTTTTTTTTTTAATCTTTATTGAACAAGTCAGGATACAATTCTCAGTAAACAGAAAAGGCGCTAATCCAATCACCGAACACGCGCGGCCTAAACAGAAAAGGCGCTAATCCAATCACCGAACACGCACGGCCAGTCTCGACGTAAGGCCTTCTAGCTGTCCCTCGTACTAGAGGTAAGAGCAGTCCGAAAAAATCGAGCCCGACCCGACCGGGCCCGAGGGTATTTAAGCCTGACCCGGCCCGAGCCCAATCACTTAACTTGATATGCAGGCCCGAGTCCGAAGAAAACCCGACATTTCATATTTTATTTGTGAGGACTCGGGAGGAGGAGGGGTGATTTCTGATAACAAAGCCTGTCTTTTGTAACGAAATCCAAGTTAAACAAGACTGTATAACCATTTATATTTCTGTTTCTGAAGAGGTTACACTAACCGACAATTTCCCATCATTGACGGATTTTTTTTTAAGAGTGGACGGGGAAATTTTAAGGCCGTCCGTCATTTTGATGGGTTGAAAATTGGGCCGTAAACCACAGCAGCTGTACGTCCTTAAGAATCTAGCGCGGCACTTTAAGAGAGAGAAGCAGAGGGACAAAGATGAACACTGACGTCGGGTCGGGTCGGGCTCGGGCTCGGGAGGCCCGATCTTACCTCTACCTAGTATGCAGACGAGTCAGATCTCAGACTCGTGATCTGATTGGCTATTGCAACCTGACTGTGCCCGTTCATTTACAGCGCACAGGGGCCTGCTCTGTTTAATCTGAAGGCCCCAAGCAAGTTTAATTTACCTGGCAACACAAGCGAGATGAAATATGATTGGTTAAAAAGTGTACCATAATAAATAAGTTATTTATCGAGTGGCTTTCAATGTTATTTAAAATAACATTGAAAGCCACTTGACTAAGTGGAAATAACATGACATAAAGAATACAGAGAATAATTTTGTTTACATATTTATGAAAATAAAATAACATAAATTAATGTTATTCTCAGAAAAGTAAATTTACTTTTCTGAGAATGTTTAGGCCAGCAGAGAAGGCCTTGCTGGCCCTGAGGGTCCGCCACTGGTCGTCAGTGATGTGATTTTTGCAGAAATTGCGAGAAATGTATGATAAAACACCAGGTTTACAGTATATTGAAAATTGGCATTTATAATGGGCGTCAATATGCCAAATTTTGTCATTTTACTAGCTTCATAGGTAAAAAAAATGCCATGATGTAAGATATACCAACTGTAATGTTCAATAATGTCCAGCAGGGTGTCATTTTTAACTTTGACCCGTTTTGACATCCTATGCAAAATTTCAGCTTCGTGGGGTTATTTTTCACTGTTTTTGGCTGTGATGTACAACTGTCCAACAGTCCAAAAATGTTCAAATATCGCATACTTCTGCATAAGGGTTCGTTATGTGGCGTCA